CCAAAAAGCACACCTAGCTGTTGGTGTCCCCAGACCCCAGGCAGGAGGCTGGGATGAGGGACTTCAACCCTCTGTCTGTGCCAGCGAGGGCCCCAGGCTTCTCTCATGACCTCTTTCCCAGGCCCCCGCTGGGTCCTTCCGAAGGTGCAGGCCTTGTCTCTCTGCTTCTCTGGGACTGCAGGCCTCATGCCCCCACACCCTGGGCAGCAGGGCATGGTAGATGCATGGCATCCCCCTTAGTGGCACCTTCCCATTGTGAGAGAACAGCCTGAAACCCACCCCTGTTTATACCTCTGATCTCCCACGGCCCAGGCAGCCATCGGGGGAGGTGTCTTGTCAGAGGCCTTAGTCCAGAGGCATCCCAGCGGTGGCGGCAATTTCAGTCCCAAATCCACTGGAGGGCTGCGCTGTATATTTTTAGGCGGATGAAACTCTGACCCTCACCGCATCCAAGCGACTGTCAGTTATCACCTACAAAACTACCGGGGGTGATGCCTGAGTGACAGTTGTTCATGAAGAACCCAAACGATGGTGAAATATGAGCAGTTACCTACATACCGAGGGCACGGAAATACCATTCCCAGGTGACGAGAACTCAGAGGGCCAGGCAATGCCCTCAGATCAAACTCACCCCACCAGTGAAGAGACTGAGTCCACAGAGAAATGCCTGACCCGCCCGCCTTTGGTTTTCCTGCGGCACATCCTCTGTGCTGTTCTGACAGCCTTTCCAAACCTACATCTCACGTGTGTGCAGCTGCCCAGTGCCCTTCATGAGTTTCCAGGAGCAAGATCACATCCAGACTAACTGCTGTGGTCTTCGGGCCCCTGTGCACCTCCGAAATAGCTCACCACGGCTCCAGCCTGTTGCATGCCACGTGCGTGTGAGTACACACACACTTGTCCATGCTTACACACACGCCCATGCTCACGCACACCTGCCCATACTTACACACCCGCCCACGCTCACACACCCACACATACCTGCCCACACTCACACCTGCCCACTCTCAGATGCCCATGCTCACACACCTGCCCACTCACACACCCACACGCATATGCCCACGCTAACACCCACACACACCTGCCAATGCTCACACACGCCCACGCTCACACATCTGCCCCCCCCACACCTGCCCACACTCACACAACTGCCCATGCTCACACCTGCCCATGCTCGCACACCTCCCCACACTCACCCACACCTGCCCACGATCACACACCTGTCCACACTAACACATGCCTGCCCACGCTCACAGATGCCCACGCTCACACACTTACACATGCCCATGCTCACACCTGCCCATGCTCACACACACCTGCCCATGCTCACACACACCTGCCCACACTTAACACCTGCCCACACTCACTCACACACACCTACCCACACACCCACACACACCTTCCTACACCCACACCTGCCCCCACACACCCACACACACCTGCCCACACTGACACACCCACACACACACCAGCCCATGCTCATACACATGCCCGTGCTCACACACCTGCCCACACACCTGCCCATGCTCACAGCTTCCCACACTCACACCTGCCCACACCCACCTACCCACGCTCACACACACCTGCCCACACACCCACACACCTGTCACATTCACACACATGCTCATACTCGTGTTCACAAATTTCTGTGATTGTCCCATACATGATTTTCTCTATTTTCTAATACTTCATTTTGAAATCATTTCAAACTAATACAAATGTTGTGAAATTAGGACGAGTTCCCATATACTGTTTACCTGGGTTCCCCAAATGTCAGCATCATCACTCAGCAAAATGCTCAAGATCAGGAAATGAACAGACATGACACTGTCATCTGCAGGCCTTCTTTAGGGGGTCCACAAATGCCCCTTTCTGCCCTGGGATCCAACCTCTAGTGGCCACTGGTTTTGTGGAATGTCCCTGAGTCTGGGTTGCATGTGTTTGGTAACTGATTGTGCTGGTGGTGATACTGGGAGTGGAAGCGGCTGGCTTCATGTCGCTGTGCCAGGATGGCAGGTGTGGGCCCAGCCAGGACACCCCCAGCTTGTGTTCCTCTACTCGGGGCTCTCAAGTGTAGGTTCCCTCCCTCTTGCTTTTCTCCCAGAACAACACGGGACACATCAAGTTTCCTACATTCTGTCCTTTGTTGGTCACGTCCTCATAGTGTCATTTCTCTCTGTTTCTGGTAGCTTGGCTCCATCAGGTTCAAGTTCAGGTTTGACCCAGCCCCCTCAAGCCTCTCCCCTTCATGGACCGAGGATGCACCCAGTCTTCACCATCAGCCTTCTCCCTGGGAAGCTGGTGTACTCTGCTCTCCTCTGCCTCTATTTGTTCTCCCTCCATGTGCCCCCCGAGATTATCTTATTTAACCACCATCTATCAATGGACAACTTAAAACTCTGCCTTTAGCCAAGAGCTCCCTCTGGGGCTCCAGACCATCTTCCACCCCATAGTCTGAGGGATCTTTCTAAAATTCCATCTGAGGGGCACTCTTTCTCCTTGTACTTCCTGGTGGTGATTGTCCCTTGACCCTGTGCTTTGACCTCTGCCTGCCATGCCCTTCTCCCTTCTTCACCTGGATAAATCCCCCAGGAGCCACCGGTGGCCATGGGCGGAGTGAGCGCACTCTGTGTTCACCTACATGTTTATCTCCAGAGAGTGAGTCCTTGGGTACACGTTTCATCTCTAGCCCCATTGCCTGAAAGAACACTCAGATACTTGTCAGATAAATGCTGAAAGTGATTGGAGATATTACAAATCCGAACTATTTAGGATTTCCTTTTCCTTCTAACATTAAGTCAGGGTCTTATACCGACCTCAGGGTGTAAGAACAGGAAGCTTGGCCGGATGCGGTGGCTCATGCCTATAATCTCAGCACTTTGGGAGGCCGAGGTGGGCGGATCAACTGAGGTCGGGAGTTCAAGACCAGCCTGACCAGCTTGGAGAAACCCCATCTCTACTAAAAATACAAAATTAGCTGGGCATGGTGGCACATGCCTATAATCTCAGCCACTTGGGAGGCCGAGGCAGGAGAATCGCTTGAACCTGGGAGGCGGAGGTTGTGGTGAGCCGAGATCACGCCATTGCACTCCAGCCTGGGCAACAAGAGCGAAACTCCATCTCAAAAAACAAAACAAAAAGAATAGGAAGCTGGTAGGGCCCAGGGTCAGCTTCGCCTGCTTCCTGGCTCCGGAGCTCCTCCTCTAGAAGGCGCTGTGACAGGCACATCAGGGCACCAAGAGAAATCATAACTCAGTCCTTACCCTTCCTGAGCAGGGCAGACTAGGATTGTGTGGTGTTCACAGGTTATGAACACATGGAGAAGGAAGGAGTTGAATTTGAGGACATCTGAAAACTCTTAAGATAATGAATTGGACCTTAAAATATAGGAAGACTTCATGGAGTTGACAGTGGCTTGGAGAAGGCGGCATCTTGACTGTGGGGCCTGTAAGCGGCCTTCCACTTTGAGGTGTCTGGAATGTGGGATGCCAGAGGGAGAGGATGGCTTCATCCATCCTGGTGTGGGTCACGCTGTTGTGCCTTAGAGGCCTCCAGCTACAGAACTGAAGAAACAGCAGCCATGAGGAGCTGAAAAAGAATTTCTTCCAGCCTGGGGAACACAGTGAGGATCCCTCTCTACAAAAACTAGAAAAAAAAAATTAGCTGGACATGGTGGTGTGCGCCTGTAGTCGCAGCTACTTGGGAGGCTGAGGTGGGAGGATCACTTGAGCTGGGGAGGTCAAGGCTGCAGTGAGCCATGATCATGCCACTGCACTCCAGCCTGGGTGACAGGTCTCACTCTGACCCAGGCTGGAGTGCAGTGGTATGAGACCTGTGAAAAACATTCTGCAACTATTTGGGTGTATGTTGGAGGGAAGCATGAATAAATGAAGTCAGACTGTGTTTTGTGTTTTTGCTTCAGAGACAACTTGTGCATTTTGCAGGCGGTCCCCACTGCCCTCTCCAATGCTTTCACCTGGGCTCCCACCTCTGGGGCTCCACTGCCAGCAAGGCCACCTGGCCAAGCTCCTGATCCTTGTGCTGCCCCATCCTCTGGTCACCCTGACTGGAAGCCTTGGACTCATTGCTGACTTTCTGTCCGACCTCATCCCCCACATTCAAACAGTGGCCTAGTGCTTGGAAATGTCCCTCTGGGGTTCCACAAGCACAAGAGGTGGCTGGGTGCAGTCCTGTGTCACCGACTTCCTCTGATGGCAGCCTGGCGGGTGGCCTCGGGCTCTTCCTACACCAGTCCACTCCCCTTTCCCCCGCCGCAGACTCCCTCCTTAGGTCCTGGCACGAAGGTGGCACTGGATCCACTTCCAGTGACGAGAACACACCACTCCCAGACTCGTCACCTCCCAGGCGTGCTCTAGTCCCTCAGACACAAACGGAAGAGAATCCTATGCCTTCCTGAGCCCCCGACCGTCATAGACCACTGAGAGCTGGCACTCGGCACCAAATCTCCCTGATGGAGAAAGCGCTTGTCCTTCACTCCCGTGAGAGCGCTGCAGGCCTCTGGCTCCCGGCCAGTCAGCACTGTCGTCCCCCAGCCCCTCTTTTTCTAGGCCTGCCCCAAGCCTGTCCTTGAAACCCGCCCTACCTGCCCCCAGCCTAGGCTCCAGGTGGACGCGCCCCTGGGGGTCTGCAGAGCCGGCGGGAGGCAGCGGCTCCGGGGCCCTGGGCAGACAGGGCGCCTCATTCTGTTCTGGTGGCACCTGAGGACCCGTGCAGGCCGCCTGGGTTTTACTTTTCTGCGCACATTAGCCCAGTCTCTGGAAGCAGTTTTCCGGCCTGGCTCGGGGCCGGTTAGATGCGCCGTCATTTCAAATGTAAGGAAGCGCTGGGCAGATCCGTTGTCGGCCGGCCTCGCACGCACGCGCCCGCAGGCCGAGGGCAGGACCGTCCCGAGGCCCTCCCCGGTGCCTCCAACCAGGGATCTCCGTGCGCGGCGCGGGGCTGCCCCCAGCCGTGACCTCACCCGTGCTCTCTCCCTGCAGAATCTCCTACGACCCGGCGAGGTACCCCAGGTACCTGCCCGAAGCCTACTGCCTGTGCCGGGGCTGCCTGACCGGGCTGTTCGGCGAGGAGGACGTGCGCTTCCGCAGCGCCCCGGTCTACATGCCCACCGTGGTGCTGCGCCGCACCCCCGCCTGCGCCGGCGGCCGGTCCGTCTACACCGAGGCCTACGTCACCATCCCCGTGGGCTGCACCTGCGTCCCCGAGCCGGAGAAGGACGCAGACAGCATCAACTCCAGCATCGACAAACCGGGCGCCAAGCTCCTGCTGGGCCCCAACGACGCGCCCGCTGGCCCCTGAGGCCGGTCCTGCCCCGGGAGGTCTCCCGGCCCGCGTCCCGAGGCGCCCAGGCTGAAGCGGTCTGGAGGGCTCTGTCGGCGACCTCTGAAGAGCGCGCACCGAGCAACCAAGCGCGAGCATCGGCGCCGCCTTTGCACGGAGACTCGTCTGACACGGGCATCTCTGGTTGCTCTTAGCCACAGGCAAGCAGGGTGGCTGGAAGCTTATGGGAGACGACCCGGGACGACCACCTGTGTGCGGCCCGCACGGAGGGTTTGGAGAAGTGCACGGAGGAGCCTCCCAGGCCGGCTGCGGCGGGTACAGGGCGTGCCTCACCGCTGGGTGCTTGCCAAAGAGATAGGGACGCATATGCTTTTTAAAGCCATCTAAAATAAAAATAAGTAGAGCGACTATATACTTACTTTTAAAATCAGCTGTTTTGAATAGAGGCAGAGCTATTTTATATTAGCAAATTAGAGCTACTCTGTTAACATTTCTTACTTAACATATAAACATTTTTTTTTACTTCTTCTGGTCGGATTTTTTTTTTTTTTTTTAAGCATAATTGGAATCCTTGGATAAATTTTTTAGCTGGCACACTCTGGCCTGGGTCTCTGAATTCAGCCTGTCACCGACGGCTGACTGATGAAATGGACATGTCTGATCTGACGCACTCTTCCTTCCACTGAAGGTCTTCACCGGCCTCCAGGTGGACAAAGGGATGCACAGGCGGCTCGCATGCCCCAGGGCCAGCTAAGAGTTCCAGAGATCTCAGAGTTGGTTTTATGAGTCATGAGTACAGAAACAGTCTCAAACTTGTACAATTTTTTTTCCCTTTTGAAAGCCCCTGGGGCCAATTTGTGGTTAAGAGGTGGTGAGATAAGAAGTGGAACGTGACATCTTTGCCAGTTGTCAGGAAGAATCCAAGCAGGTATTGGCTTAGTTGTAAGAGCTTTAGGATCAGGCCGAATAGGAGGACAAGGTGGGCCACGTTAGAATCTGCAGGGATCACTCTGGAGGCTTCTGTTTCTACATTCTGCCACGAGAGCTAGGTCCTTGCTCTTTTCTTTAGATTGAAAGTCTGTCTCTGAACACAATTATTTGTAAAAGGTAGAAGTTCTTTTTAAGTCATTAAAAGAGTCTTGCTAAAGGATACACTGGCTGTGTGTATTTCTCTCAATTCTGCTTGATGGGCCAGACTCATTGTTAAGAGGAAATCATGTGTTACCTAAGGTCTTCACTTTATCTTGAGGTTTAAATTCATAGAGATCTGATTTGGTCTTAGAAAGATCCACTAGTCAGGTAAGGCCAATGTCTTGGATCTTTGTGACACCCCCAAAACCAGGAAGTGTCCTTTATTCACATGCGTTTCACTCCCAAACTTCAGCTACCACAGAAAGACTAACTGGCAGCCTTAGTCTGATCCAGATGGATGGGTCGCTCAGAGACTTCCAGCTCCCACTAGAATTGACAGAAATTGTGCATGAAAAACACATCACTGAGCAAATCCACACTTTTCTCCAAATACAAAATTCAAACTGGAAAGCAGCAGCTATGGATAGTTCCAGACTGTACTTCCCATTCAACCTCTGGGGGAAGAACGGGATCCTCTGGTGGTGGTGGTGTCTACAACACATTCCCGTCCAGCAACCAGAAGGTCCAGAGCAACAGCACAAATCCACTCAGTAAAAAGAAGTGCTGGGTCTCTGAATTCAGCCTGTCACCGACGGCT